GTTCCGCGCAGCGCCACTCGAGCCGCCCGCGTTAACCCGGCGGGCAGCGGCGCGGGCAGCGGCGCGCGAACCGCGAGCTCTATTTCGAGATCGTTTTAAAGGTCACGGGGGAGGAAGCAGGGGGGGGAAAACTGTGAATGTCAAAGTTCTGCTGCAGCTACTTACATGTCCGTGCCAGAGCAGGGTGGTGTCTAGTTAGCGCTTTGATTGGCAGCTTAAAGCGAAAGTCCGCGCGGACTCCGGAGCCCTAAGGAGGCCCCGGGGTTTCATCACTTTGCACCGGACAGAGGCAGTTGAAGGAAGCTCGCACGTCCCCTTCTTCTCCTCTCCTCCTCCATCCAGGACAGAGAATGAATCCATTTCGGTTTTTCTTCCCCCGGCTCTCCTTCCGTTTGCCTACACATCCTCCAAGTCCTAGCCCTAGCTTTTAACTGCAGTCCCTGGAACAAGAGGGGAAAAAAAACGTTTATGGCTTAAAAATCCAAATGGCTGATTTTGTGTGTGTGTTATAAGAATGCACCCACAACAACAAAAAAGTCATTTCTCTGTCCCCCACCGTACAGCAGAAGAATAATAAAAAAGCTTTATATTTTGCAGTGGGTATTCAAAGATAATTTGATGCCATTGTTTCTGCTACAGATGGTTCTTTTTAATACAATAACACTGCTCTTTGTGCATACTACACACAATAAAAATCGAAAGCGTTCTCCTGAATAACCATTTTGTTCTCGCTTGTATACAGGCCAACAAAAGCTGCCGTGAGGTAATGGGTTCTGTTTATTGAAGCCATAGAATAGAGGTTTGATAAAGATTTTTGTATATAGGGGTAAAAAAATAAATAAAGACCTTGCAAGGTCGAGCTGATCTCGGCGTATTTATTACTAGTGAAATATTTTATCAATATATTTCTTTCAGTTGCAGCTGCAGGGTTCTCTCCTCCCCTCCCTCCCCCACGCGCCCCATCCCTAATCAGCCCAAACATCTGTTTCTTTGAATTTGGGGAGATCTGTAGTCGTAGCCAGACCTGAAGGAAAAAAAAAGAAAAAAAAAAAGAAAATAGAATAAAAGAGAGTTTGCGAGAGCGCGGGGCAAAAGACCTTGGAGGCGAATGCGGCGGCGGAGTCCCGCGCATTACGGGGCGCATCTCCGCGCGCGTTTGTTTCGCGGGCTGCTCTCCGCGCCCACGCGCGCACCAGGGCGCGCACAGGGGCTCAGGCAGCCGGGGACCCGCGCGCGGCGCTGCCGGGCACGCGGGGCGGGTGCTGCGCCCCACGCGCGCAGCCGCGCTCCTTGTTTTTCCCGCAATTGTCACTGCAAATAAGGGTCTGTGGTCCAGCCCTGCCTGCAGTGCCCGAGTCCGCAGGGCGCATCCAGCAGCAACAACTGGAAGTTCGCGAGGGTGCCCGCAGCTCCCGGCGAGTTCCTGCGAATTGCCAACTTCTGCTAAGTAACGAATCCATTAGCAACGCAGAAGAGAGCGGAGAGATTAAAAAAAAAATCACATTAGATGGGAACAGGGAGCAAGGCAGCTAATTCTGCCCTGTAAACGGTCTCCCACGTCCAGGCATCCTCCAGTGTCCCCGTCACCGAGCTGGGAATGAGGCTGCGGCCGCATCCCCTGCAAGGGACCCCAAGGCAGACGCGGCGCCGAGACGAGCGGCTTCGCGCGGCCGTTGCGGGGCCGTGTCTGTGTCTGTCCACCTTTCTATAGGAATTACTGGCACAGCTCCCCGTGCCGCTGCGCCCGGGTTGACAGTAATCCACCTCGGTGACTTCTGCCCTTTGTGTTTTCACAAAACTCGGCTCACTTGTAGCACGACAACAGCACCGAATAATGACTTTAACCTTCAAACATTCTTTAATTAGCTTTTTCAGCAAACCAGAAGATGCTCAAATGAGCCCTTTGACAAAAACTGACCCGCGCCTTCCAGTACTACTTTCACTTTTTCAACTAGGACGTTATTGGTTCACAACTCATCTGAAGTCATCTAATAAGGGATTATTTGGGGACATTTACCCACGCGCCATTTAAAGCCTCTCCGTTGAAATTCGGGAGACAAAGATAAGCATCTAAACGGAAAATTAAACTATTTGCACATGGCTTGTTTTTCAACAACCCATTTTCCGTCTCAGGATAAACATGTCGGCGCCGCAGCGCGGGGCGGCGGGGAGGGCGCGGAGCGGAGGGCGCGGAGGCGGCCGCGCTTCCAGGAGCCGCCGAGGGGCTCGTCTGGGGGCTCCACGCCTAGAAACCCCTCGCGGAGAGGGGTGCGGAGCTCCCCTACAACACTCGCTTCGCTCCAGCCTTTAAATGCGATGGGAAGCGTGGCACAAAAGGTCCCAACTTGCCCCAGTGAAGTGAGTTATAGGTGGGTTAATTATTTTACCTAAAACGGTAAAATTCAGGAAGAAAGTGTCGCTTCTCCCCCAGAGGTATTTTATTACCTAGAGCAGCGAAGGAGAGGGATTAGTAACAAATGCGCCTTTTGCTACCTAGAGTGGTTCTTTGGGTTAAACGTGAGCCAGATACTCAACAGCTTAATACGGACTTATCGAGGAAAGATTTTTTTTTTTTTCAGACAAAACATCCCAATGGCTCAGAAATTTCACGTCGTCCTTAACTGCTGTATACAAATCTTGGCGAGATTCCTCTGCAGGACAATTAAAGAAGCATCCTGCAGCACAACGACAAAGGGACCTCGGGAATGCCCCGCATCTAGGAGGGAAATACGGATCCCTCGCTTTAGCCTTAAGCACGAAATTGGCTTAAGCCTCATTTTGCAGATAACCGGAAACGAAATCATCAGTGCGTGGGGACCGGGTCGCTGCAACTTTCTAATGCTCGGCATTTGCATTTCTAAGACTTTATAGCTGAGAAAAAAAGAGAAATAAATAAAATAAAAATAAAATTAAAAAAAGATGAACCGCAAGTTGGAAGGGCTCTAAAAGAATATTTGTGATACCTACACGCATTTTCCGCCCTGGTCTGCAGAGGGCTGCGGTCGCACACCCGCGCGCAGAGCCCTCCGCTCCGCACGGGCTGCATCCCGACATCAGTGGCACGGGGTAGAAAGTGAGTGACCCAGATTTACACAATTAATTCTGTTTAAGTTCGGTACAACTATCCGCACCTAGGAGTGTAAATAAAATACCAGACCACTTCATTGTCCCCGAAATGCGCCTAGGTATCGCACAGCTAAGCAGAAAAGACCAATGCGGAGTTTCCAAGACTCCCCTCGAGGGACTGAGGGCAGGGTGTCGGACCAGATAAAAAAAAACATTGGCCCTGCCTTAAAGGAGCAAGGAAGAGCCCGGCTGCTGCTGGCACTTCTCGCACATTGCTAGCCCTGTTATTACCAGCCCAAATATTCCGGTATTTACTGGAATTGCACTGGCTGGAACAGCCCCTCAGACACAGCCGCTGCTCGGCTCTCGCCGTGCTCAGACGCTCTCCGCTCCACGGGAGCTTTGGGGTAGCTCCACGGCAGGAACGGGGGCCAGCACGAAATGGGACACATCCGTATTTTGCATTCTGGTTCCATGACAAGAGGGATGAAGTTTAATGCAGGCACATTGAGCCCCTTGGCTGCTGCCGGCTACACGGGCGTGGAGCCGAGGGGGCTGCGCAGGTTGCTCCGGCAGCCGCGGAGCATCCGCGACCTCCTCCAGCAGCCACGGAGGGACGGGGCCTGCACGCGGAGGGACGGGGCCTGCACCCTTTCTAGGCGTGGAGTTTGGCCCTGCCTGGAATTCCCCAAGGTCTCGTCCTAGGAAAGGCTTCTGAGGATCATTTCCAGCTATGCTCCCCTCACTGCCATCCACACAGCGCGGATGCTCTTGTAGCCCACGGGGGCGCGTGCCCACCTGCACCTGCACGCGTGTGCACAGGTAAAGGCAGCCCTCCAGACACCCCCAAAAACCCTACCATCTCACAGCATTCAAAGAACTTTTCTGAAACACTCTTTTTCCTAATGTCCTGGGATACGGTGGCACAAAATCCCCTCAGAAGCGAAGGACGCGCAGTTCACACCAGCAGCTCTTGGGAAGCTGTGTCTTGCAGTGCAGGCCGGCCGTCCCGTGCGCAGAACCACGGGGCAGAGCCACGTGTGGGGCCTCTTGAAATAAAGAGGAGTGGAGGGGATTCAACCTTTTTTTTTTTTTTTTTTGACAGACCCAAGACCTGCTCATTTATTACCTCAGCCTGTGCTACAATACTTTTTCTGGCAATTGCTATGGATAGTTATGGTGCCAAATGTGCCTTTACTGAAATGTAACCACATGACACCTAGAAAGAAAAAAAAAAAGAAAAGAAAAAAGAAAAAAAAAGAGGAGAAAGAACAGCCCCTGCCATATTCTTCAAGGATGCTTGACAACTTCATATATACATTCTTTAGATAGCTACTTTCTTTGCTGGTGGATTCCTTTTACATATTAAGATTAATCTATGAATTATACATCATGTCTATAAACATGCAATACACTATACATATAACAGCATATGATGTAAAGTCTGATACTATATATGGCATATAATTTTGGACATTTATAGGAGTTAGAGAGCTGTTTCCACAGAAGTGCACGCAAACACAGACTTTGCGTGTGTAATACAGCCATATGCACTCCCATGCACTTAAGCAACACCATTTTGAAGGTTAAATTCTGATTACTGACACCATGGAGGATGGTGGCAATCCATGGAAGATGTCCAGTCCATTTTTCAAAACCTATATTTTCATTATGTAGTTATTTGTTACCATTGAGAGATTGGAATTAGAAGGAATGCACTAGTTGGCATCCTAGTGGACATCGCCTGCAATGTTCTCCCTGTATTTTATTCATCATAATTCACTTAAGATATAGGATGTTAGTTTTTTGGTTTTGTTTTGTCGATGGTTCCTGTACAGTTTAAGGTAGCCTTCCACCACCCTCACAACCTCTTTTATAGCAACATCTACTGATCTTTAACTCAAAGATCCCCACAATATCCTCTGATGAACATTCAACAACTTTACGATGCAGTTTTGGTTTGACTGGAAACACCCAGATTTAGACAGATGCTCATCATTTTTGCTTCCTGGTTGTTCTCACTCTCTCTCTTCTTTAATTTTATTTTTTATTGTCCATTTTCACTCTAACCATTTTAGGAGTCAAGATGGCAATCGTGGTCTGCGGTAGGCCACAATAGACTGTGTTCAGCGCCCCTTCCTCTGAGAAACAGTAGGAATCCCTCCACATAATCTTATCCCTCCATCCAGATTACAAAGTAGCTACATCAAGTTTGCTGACAGGTAAAGAAATCCAGGTTACAGCCAGAACAATATTCTGCCAGAAAATGATAAAGCAGAACATGCAGAAATGAGCGATCTTTGTTTCCAGAAGAAAAAGGGCAAACTCATATTGAGACTGACACTGAACTGTACTGTGGATTACATATCACCCACTTCCATCAAATTCAAGGCCCAAGAACTGCAGGGGAGGGAAGTGTGTATGAGCAGACACTC